AAACACTAATACTAAACTAGTGCCAGTTAGAATTATTTATTATAACTAGAGTTTCTAGTTCTTCATTAGTTAAACTAAACTAGTGCCAGTTAGAATTATTTATTATAACTAGTTTCTAGTTCTTCATTAGTTAAATATCTAATTTGAGTTGTATTAGAATTGTGGTAAAGTTACCGTTTGCTGCGAAATAAATGGTCAGATTTTGTCTTCCATAAAACTATTACAAGATTCAAAGTAAGATTGTCTATAAAATTTTAGAATTTGAAACAAAATAACGAATGTCTCGTGAGTAGATGTTTATAGTTATTTTGCATAATCATTAATTATGTGATTCTTTAAACAGAAAAACACTCATAAAGTAAATGTTATTATTTAAAAATCAGAATTTCACCATTAATCACGTATAAACCATAAACTGATGAAAAGCACAAATTTTAGAATGTACCTGTTAATGGGCAGGTGAAGATATCGTATCTGTGGTTCTTGTTTCCTTTTAATGATGTCTGTTCGTGCATGCACATCCAAAAATCACAGAATCTAGCCTTTGATATGTTCAGAGAAAAACGAATTTTCACAATTAAAAAAGGATAACAATACTTAAGATAAACAACATTGTTTATTTATAACACAAGGAAACGCATTTAAATGTTTTGGAATTCAATACATTCCTTATTCAATATCTAAAGCAAAATAAAAGAATTACATCGTTCCTAAGTAAGTAACTAAAATACATTGCTTTAATAACAGTAATTTAACCAAACCTACAACAACATATGAATTAAATGAATGACAAACAAAATACTGTGCATATTAGAAAATTTCAGCCTTGAAAGAACTGTCGTTGATGTTAGATTCCAGTGATGTAAGTGGTTCTTATACATTGAGCAAAGTAGTATTTAAAAGTATATTATGTATAATGGTAATGAAATTTATCATACACTCTATGAAAAAATCATTAGTTGTATACTTTTTATTGTCAATTTATTTTCAGCCACATCTGTGAAATAGGGGCAAAATTGTATAGGCTGACAGATGCTTATGCTATTAGTTAATCGCTTAATTTCTTAACTCTTTAGTTTTTCTTAATATGGTTATTGCTTTCTTAAAATTTTTTTTTATATCTTTAAGTATGAAATTTTCCCAAGCTCACTAGTAATGGAAACCACTGGCATATAAATTTCTGAACTAATTTGTCAATTGGGAATGATCTTGAGAGTTGATCACTTTTATAGCAAGAATTAGTTAGATTTTATATTCAGTTTTTTTAGTTATTTTGTGCTTTTTGATATCTAGGGTGATTTGTGTGCATCAGCAGTTCTGGTTAAGTCAGATGTAACTGTTAGATGAAAAATATTTAAAATAGTGTTCTAGGTCACTAATGCGTCAGAATTCAATTTAAAAAAATTTGCAAAAGAATCACTAAATTGTTTAGGCCTAATGTCTCTAGAGTATGAAAGAAGTAAAATATTTATAGAATATATGTATCAATCTACAAAATATACAGGATTCAATTAATTGCTTTAACCTTGCTTTTTAAACATACTTTTGTAAACCTTCTTATGGGTTCATGTCTGTGTTGGTTATAGGGTTGCTAAAGAAGTACAACTTGCACAAAAAAAATTACGCATGAATACCATCAGCATTGGATTTAGTTTCATAATTACTGCTGAGATATCCCATGTATTTTACTTGAAATAAATGAGTGAATATATTGTAGCTGGAGGTGAACTTGTATTTTCATTGGTCAAACAACTAAGTAAATAGTTTGGTTTTAAACCTAACTGTAATAGCTATTAAAAAAGTCTTATCTTGTCCTGTGACATCTCTCTCTAGATGATAGCAAGACAGAAGAAATAACAACTGTTGAAGATCTTGATAACATCAGATCACGGTTTGAATCACCCCTGGAAGAGTGTCATCCCGTTTCCAAAGAAAATGCAGTTTCTCTTACAAGAACAGAGAGTATCCAAGTTAGAATGGCAAAGTATGTGTCTTGTCTGATACTGAAATTAACTGTAGTGTTGTAGTTAGGTATTGAATATTGTATTTCACATTGTTATCATCTGTGTTAAGTAATATTTCCTGTCTTCTTTCTTTAAATGTAGTTGTCGCTAGGAAGACTAAAATTAAGATTATAAAGTTTTTTATTTTATTGCATGTACTTACAGCTATGTAATACATTATATATTCAAAACTTGTTTAACAGCAGTAGACTTAAAATTACAATATTGTACTTCTGAAAGTCTTACTTAATACGATCTTGATCCCACCCGAACTCTCGTACTAACACTTTCAACTAATCTATAGTGCAATAGGGTTTAGTAGACACCTATGCTGGTAGAGCTATGGAACTTCCTTGCGAAACAATTTTGGTAGCACAGCATTGTCAAGAATGTTGTAATATGTTAAGATAATTCTACCTCTTTCCAAAACTACCGACGGACTTGTCTCCACCAGCTGTAAAACTTGTAAACAGTAATACTACTACAATAACCTTTCCACTATTGTAACAATGTAGTCAGACTTGCATCATTCCCTGGGCTGGTATCAAACCCATATCCAACTACCAGATACTCCACAGTATAGACACCCACCACTGTTAAGTCCCAATTACAGGGTAAATGATAGCTGACAGTTTATATTCTTTATTACCAAGGGTTTATGATATTTTCCATATAATCCAGTAGATGGCACTGCAGAAGAGCTTATGTACCTTTATTCACTTCCTGAGTGATTGTTTAAAACGTGTTTCTTCTTCACAGCCGATCTCCATGTTCTCTTGAATAATTTTGTTTGTAGATTTTTAATATTTAAATAACTTTTCCTCCTTTTCTGCAGCATACCACAAACGGAACCAATAAATAGCCCAAGCACTTGTCAAACCATGATATTCAATTATCATTCCTTTCTTTAGCTGCATAACCTTCTTTGTGACATCTTATCTTCATTGGTGTCTATTTCTGGTAGCTGCTAAACTGTATACAACTTCTGCTGTACAAAATCATGGGGGGAAAAATATGCAGATTCTGTGTGGATATTTGTTTACTGCCGTCTAACTATACTTTTAGTCTATGTAATCTTATTCTGTCTTTTTTTAAGTACGAGTTGTGACTGCGAGATCACTTGTATTTAATTTCAGTTGATAAACATTAGAGACAGCTGTTAAAGGTTCTGTGATGTTTTATTTTAATTTTACTACTACCTATTAAAGTACAGCAATTATAATTAGTAAAAACTGTGTTTAATATATTCTATTTCCTATCTGTTGATTTTATGCATATGTTTCTACTGATTTCTGTAAATATTTCTTAGATACCAGTCAGCGGTCAGCAAAGTTCATCAGAATGGTGATCATTCCGTATCCTCTGAAGATGAAGATGACAATTTGACCAAGTTGAAGAATGATGAGGTGAGGATTTCCGAAGATTTTTTTTTCTTCCACAATTGTTTCCCTTTCTCTCCCTGCCCTGTGGCTTGATGGTAAGCTTATAATGCTAAAAAACATTCCCTTCACACTCGTACACACCAAAATTTGATGATTTTTTTTTTCTGTACAAAATATTAAAAAAAGAATAGATTTAATCCTCTATTTGGCCCTTAATTTTAATTTTATCTTGTTTGCTATTGAGAGGCGAAGATCAAATTAGCTGTCGTCCATTAACACTAAGTGTCAGTGAGGTAATTTCGTTATTAGATCTATATTAAGAAATTTTACACACATTTTGATCTTTTAATATTAAAACAGTGATCACATTCTTATGAAACCTTAAACATCAGTAGTGTGCACATAATAGAAAAAAACATACATGTTTATCTGCCATAATGTAACCAAAAATTTGAAATACTTTGTAAGTGAGATAAGTCAAGCAGGCTATATGCTATATGTAGGCTATATAATATAATATGCTATATGTAGGCATAATAAAAACAAGGTAGAGAAATATCTTAATTTTTTTTTTTGGTTTTCATTGGATTTCAATTTTTGTGTAGTGGAACATGCCATGCATTGGAATGGTTTTATGTTCACTATTGTTACATTTACCCATGAAGCAATGGTTCAGGACATTGTCATTTTAATTTTCTGATGCAGTTTGTTTTCATCAATAATAATTTGTTGGGAAAGTTTATCTTGAAAGTATTTCATAAATCCGGAGGATACATGAGTATTATCCGGTAATGTTTGAAGCTCGATTGTTTCCTGTATCATTCAAGTCTCTATAAAGTAATGTTAATGTACGATTGTTTCCTGTATCATTCAAGTCTCTATAAAGTAATGTTAATGTACGATTGTTTCCTGTATCATTCAAGTCTCTATAAAGTAATGTTAATGTACGATTGTTTCCTGTATCATTCAAGTGTCTATAAAGTAATGTTAATGTACGATTGTTTCCTGTATCATTCAAGTCTCTATAAGGTAATGTTAATGTACGATTGTTTCCTGTATCATTCAAGTCTCTATAAGGTAATGTTAATGTA